TCCTTTTATGCCCCTATACATGTTTTGGTTTTTCCTTGTTTCACAATTTCAAACTGGCAACTCCACAACACAACAATTTGTGATGCCAATAAATTTGGTGGTAGAGATAAGCATAGAAACAGCCATGAATAATTTTTAGTAGGTGGATTTTTTAAATTTTAGTGACTGCATATATAAATAAATAAATAAAGGGGGCATGTATTGTGTGATTTTAAATTTTAAACAGTGTTTTAGGCTAAATAAATGACATGTTTGGGCTAAATCTCAATTTTATTGCTTGAAGAGTATTTATTTAAAATAGCTTTTTGAATTTAAAAGTGTATTTTCCAAAAACATAATAAAATCAATACTCAACATAAAATTGTAAAATTGGTTGTTTTATTCTTTATACAAAAATACTAATTAAAGTAGTGAGTTAATTATTATATTTTGCTTATTTTCACGTCCTGTTAGAATTATTAAATTACTAGTACAACGCTCATGTATTACACGGGTGCTTGCTAAAATTAATGAGAAAAAATAGTTAAAATTTTAAATACCTTTTATAAATATATATATATATATATATTATTATATATTTAGTATGATACTTTTTATTTGTGTGACCTACATGTATTATATTATAATAAGTTTTTTTAACTTACAACATATAACTACATTAAACATAAATATATCATTTAAGAAATAAATTTATTTTCTAATGAATTTTATTAAATATTATTATCTTTTATTATTATAAAGATAAATATAATTTATTTATTTCATAAATACAATATGAATGTCAAAACGAAAATCATTAAAAGATGATCAATTTGATATATTAATCGATAAGAAATACAAAAGTTATCAACTTTTAAAATACATTTACAATTCAGTAGCTAATGAAGGAAACAAATCAAAAGTTAGAGATATATTAGTCACTTAGTGTCTTACTATATAAAATTACAAAGAATTAAAGGGTTATATTAGTACAAGTGATATTAAAATACCTAATTTAGCTAAATAATAGTTATAGAATGTCCGAACCTAAATTATTAATTATTAATATATCAATATTATTTATCCAAACCTAATTACGAAACATGATTCTTTTAGGACTTTGAAGCACCAGAAACATCCACATAGGCTCAGCGCATTCGAGAATTATATATAGAAGGGATAACAGAAATCCAAAGGGATTCAATTGTTCATTGTATGTTATTGACGAATACAAATCACAAGGTGTTGGCTCATTGCTCGATTATTATTGTTATGAGGTAATTTAAAAGTCATGATTAATGAAATTGCCTTAAACTAGCTAATAACGGCTCAAAATTAATTTATGAGACTAAAATGTGTCAATGATTTTATTTTTAT